TTCCCCCCCCTGCCCTTTCCTTCCCCCCCCCCCCCCCCGTCTCTCATGCCCTCCTCCCTCCATGCCTCCCTCCTTTCTTGCTCCATGTGAGGCGGAGTTAACGTGTGTGCGCTCACCATGTGCACTTCTTGCACTTGTCAGTCGCACTCTGCAAGAAGCTGCAGACCACTTGGAGTTGCCCTACAATGGCTGCATGCACACTTTTTAAATCTATCTCATTTTTTTTCAAAATTTCCACCTTTTCGGGGGGACCTGAAAAGCGGACTTGAGCTTTTATTTTTATTTTTTGGGGTGGGACGTACTGATTCACTGAAGAGGAGGAGCGGGAGTAGTCATGTTGGAGTGCAAGTAAGTGTGATGTTGTGTATTTTTAGACACACTACTTGCATTAAAAGGATGCGAGTAAGGCAATTTTCTTCCATCACGATATATTTCCCATTTTGTCCATGACGTGGATGTCGTTGTGGAATAATATTCAAGATTCAAAGCGTTTATTATCATTCAAGCGAAACAATTTTCCAATAAGTCATTATTATTTCCAATATAAGCAGAGCTGCATAATGGTACACCTCGTGCCTGCATGCGCGCGCGTCCACGCGTTCTCCTCTCAGCTTTGGGAGGTGATGTGCGGGGCCCCTTTAAGAGAGACGACAGGCTTAGTTTGTGTCTTTGGTTATCTAGCTGTATGAGTTTTAATTTCATAAAGCTAGAGAACCGAAAGTACCAACTGACGCCGAACACCTCGCAACGCCCCCCCAACCCCCGAGCCACGACGGCTATCTGGACCGGAGGACTCGCTCAAGGCAGCATCTGCTCATGGGGACGCTGGATGCTGAGGGGAATGCTCAAGTCGCCACCGAGGAAAATGGTGATTATATTCGCTTCGGAAAAGAAGACTGAGTGCTTCACTTGCTGACGGCTCGGTCCATGTGCATTGCACATGCGCGTACCTTCAAGACTCAACTCAATTCATTCATCATCTCGCCTTTAAGACAAAAAAGGAAGCGTTCACGCGAGACTTGACACGTGTCAGCACATGAATGGGTGTTTAAGGTGTAATAATATCAGGAGTGGGAAGACGTAGAAGGTGTCAAAAGACTCCGCGTGATTGGCCAGTTTGGGGGACACGTGATGTTGGCAGCGCAGCAACCTCCATTTTTCACAGATGTTTGTTTATGCCAGGATGCTTTGCGATCTTTTGACTCACTTGCAGTTACACCCTCATCACAAAATAATGTCATCTTTAATATACCTGAGCTCTAGGATTTAGCTTTTAGGTGTGTAAATATTTGATTCATTTCCAACCCTTCAGTCAGCCTTCGTTTCCATGCATCCATTTCCTACATTTATTCTCACCTGCAGGTCTGGTAAACAGGAGCTTATACAGGCTGACTTTTGGTCGAATGGCGGTATCCATCTTGGACTTGTTGCCATCTAATTGCAGGCCACGTATGGGCAAACAATCATTCAAGCTGTTTATTAGCACTCCCAGTTGACAGAATTTACTAAAGTCAAACAGTTTAAACCTAACACAACGGAGGGGCTAACAGAAGAAGCATCAATACTGAGGTAGTGACAGCACTTTAAGTGATGGGCATGAACATAAGCGGTGCACAGGCATCACAGGCATATATTCTTTATCCTCTATGAAAAACGAATGCTGCTGACTTCTTCTCTGTGTTAGTCTGAATATCTATATCAAGTGTCAGTAACTAAACATAAGATTTCCAGCCATCGAGCTATAAACTCCAAATGCACAAATAACTCCCACGTGACCGCCATGGCTGCTTTACCATGGGTATATATTCTATGCATACATATATCATCCGCTACTTTTGGAGACCAACAACTTCGCATGATTCTGGAAGCTTGTTTATGTACATGCTAATGAGCAATGTTCCTAAAGCTGACCCTTGAGGGATTCCTGTTTGACGTTAAAAAAAAAAAAATTAATGATGACGTGCTGCTCACGATCTGTAATATTGTGAACCACAACAGCGTTTTCTCAGAAAAGTATATGTAAAATATGATGTACAAGTAAATGCAGCATAAAGTCTGGTTTTGCTTGTGTGTTTGTTTCCAACGTTTCATAACAATCATCATTCAAACCCAATCTAGTTTTTGAACCATATTCAATTGAGTGGATTATTTTTGCCAGCAAAGAAGAAAATAGGACAACGCATGGCGTTTGATCTATTCCTGGTGTGGAATCATCAGGCCTGGGAGATGACTGAATATCCCTGAAGTCTCAGCATGCTCTATTTAGACCATGACTGACAATATTTGATGTGCACCGTTAGACAAGAGCTTGGCCCAAGTGTGACTGGCTGTGTGGATGCGTGTGATTGTTTTACATGGAACACGCTGTATCTTGTACTAGTCTGTTTTTGTAGCTTAGCAACTGATGAAGGTGCCCAGATGCCGCAAAGATTCAATTTTATCCTCGTTTCATCGTGTGTGTTGTATCAAGCATGGCATACGTGCACCAGACAATGAGACATACAGTATATGATATCATACATGAGGAAATGAATGAGTGTCTATCATTTTTTTTCAAGCGTCATTTTCTTTAACTTCCTTGTGCGCCAACATTGTCTTTATGTTTTTCTTTCAAAGGAGAATGCCAAAGACATCAGCCCGAAAGTTGGCTTCTGAAGCCACAAGGCTAGCAGTGATGATGAGGAGCTCATCCGTCAGCCTGCAGGTACACGTGCGCTTCAGCTGTCATTTAGAGCCTCACTTTTATAGTTTGCACCTGGAGGTCAAACGGAAAGATGCTCCAGGCTTTTCCACAGGATTAGATGTGTGTGTGTGTGTGTGTGTGTGTGTGTGTGTGTGTGTGTGTGTGTGTGTGTGTGTGTGTGTGTGTGTGTGTGTGTTTCTTGAGCCACTCATACTTGAATTGCACGTCTGTATTTTAGAGCGGTACCTTCATTTTACATTGATTTAAGATTAGATCATGTAATGCTCCATAACCCACAGATAGCATGTCGGAAAAACTCACAATTAGTTGTCATTGTGGGAAAAATATGAAACAACCACAGGGGCAGGCAGATGTTCGAGGGTAGAACTAGTGGTCAGGGGAAAAAGAGGATTGGCAGGCCACAAAAAAAGGTTTTGTGTTGGTGGGTAGCAGGCAATCTGGCAATGAATGATCAGGAGAGCCTTAAATAGGTGGGTGGGTAGCTGACTGGCACAGGTGGGCATGGCTTGGGAATGGAGAGTTGAGTGGAAAAACACAGGGGGTGCGCTTTGGTGACTAATGGCAGTGACAAAAACAGTCAGGCAAACAAATACAAACACTGGCATTGCACGTAGCTGCTGTTTTATGTCCTCATTGCAAGAACGGGCCATCCCCAACTCCAGCTTCTGACGTCACACACCCCTTAAAGGCACACATCCAACACAAATACTACAGTATGTGTACTCGGGCTGATTTTGAAAAATAATCAAATTGCAAATTTTTTTCTCCCTTCACGAGGCCCTCCGTGAATTTTGTCCACAATTACAAGCAGTAAATCAATCTGTATTAAAAAATATTCATCAGACAGTTTAATTATTTAGCTATCTGTATATCGTGGACACAGGAATTTATTTTCACCATGTTCATCACAAAGGCGTTGTCATACCTCGATACGAGACAGGACAAGCACTTTGAAAATAATGAGGTTTACATTTGAATAAAAACAATTGCAATACAACCTGACGGCTGCTACAAGTGTCTGCCTAGTTCTCCTTAGGCAAGCTCATATTTACACACATGAACAGGCAGTTATAATCTGTGTTATGCAACTATATGAGCACCCCCCCCCCACCCTCGCTAAACAACTGCAGACATTTTGCATTGTCTCACAGCAAAGTGATCGAATTTTGCACGGTCATGTACAACGTATAAAACAATGACAGGAGCGTATGTACATCATTTGTTTTTGCTTTCAAGCATAAACATTTTTACACTCCTCCTCAACCTCCGCACACGCACACACACACACACACACACACACACACACACACACACCTCTTTCATTCTCATGCGGTCAGCGTTTTATCCCTTTAACCACGATGATCCTATTTGTCAGGTAGAGTGTGTGGTAGGTGGCGGGGAGGTGGCCGTGTAATCTTTGCTGCGGTTCCTTTATCCCGTTAGGCAGGCACGGGAGTCGGGCTCAAGCCGACGTTTTGGACCCGCTCATGCGGAAAGAGCGTTTGGGTGGCTCTGTCCTTTTCGTCCTTAATGCCTCGACGCGACAACCTCCCCTTGTCTCCTTGTTATTGTCAGCTACGCTTGCACAAAGGTGCGCGGCCGATGCATAATTCAGCCACGGCGAAGCATTTGGCCGACGCATCAGCAATTTTGTAAATTTGGGTGAATTATTTCTTTCCAAACGCCGCCGGTACTTTATCCGAACTAAATCCTGCCCAAGACAACATTCCATCTCCCCACTTAGGAGCTTCTCTTCAACCCCGGCATTAAGAATTAAACACAAAGTACATATTATCACCAAGGTCAAATCTTCATGGTTCCACAACCTTGGCGCTCAATAGAAAGCTCAGTTATTCAAATTTAGTATGGAGTTCTTTGAGTTGCCCCGATTTTCCCAAGCTTGCGATTAGCATATGCAAGGAATGGGCCCGCGCCGCTGTTTTCTAAAGTGGATGTAAATTATAACCTCCGTATTATACAGACTGATGGCAGATAAATCTCTGCAGTAATGCATTGCAGAGAGTGGGGGTGGGGGGGTGTCAGCGTGCGTATGTATGAGCGGGTGAGCTACTGTACAATAGCCGGTGGCAGATGGAATACACACAAGCAAAGCGCTCACGCTCAACTTTCTCTGCAGCAAAGCAGAAATATCTGAAATTCTCCTTAAAGTGTGCGCCCGGCGCTCTAGACAAATATTAACACAAGGAGATTACTAAACTGAAATTTGCACTTGTTCGCTCCAAAAAGGCCTCACGAGCAAAGTGGAGATCTCTTTAGAATCGCTATGCAAACGAGGGCTTGAATAATAAGATGTATTTATGAAGGACTGGGGAAGGGATGGGGAGCGGAGGGGGGTGCTTTTGAAAGCCACTAGGCCGCAGCGTGAATAGGATTGAAGGTGGGGGGGGGGATTTGGAGGGTCTAGTCAGACAAGGGTAAGGGGGTGTAAGGGGGGGGGGCACCCCAGCAGTCTAGGCCTCAGCCGAAGCAGCTGTGAAAAGGGGTCCCGTCTTTTTCCCACGCCCAGCAAGACGCGCAAACACTGCCGCAACTCGCCAGGGTCAAGTCCCATCACTGATATATACACTCATGCACACACGCAGGGGAGCGTGTGTGTACGAGTTGTGCAAATTAACAAGCTGGTCGCTGTGACATAGGGACACCTGCCATTCCCCCAGAATCCTTTGCGCTCTCTTTTTTTTTTTTTTTTTTTTTCCATCAAGGGCCTGACGAGAACAATTAGGTCATAACTTCAACTTGAACTTAAAATTCGTCTGTGGACTCAACAAAGACTCCCAAAAACAATGCCGTGCAGTAAAAACGTGACACTGGAGAGCAAGATAGTGATGCAGTGCTGTCCTTATTTTACATTTGTGTGCCCTTTGAAAATGTTGATGCAGAATCCTTGTTAATCAGAACAAAATGTTAAAATGAGATGAGACAGTGGTATAGTGTTTTTTTTTTTTTTTTTAATAAGTTGTCCAGTTTTCGAAATGGAGACATGTAAGAAAAAGAATCACCTGTTTTCTGAGTTTGGTCATGTGATGTTAGCAAGCTGAGCTGTGATTGGTCGTTACCTGAGCCCTGAACAACTGTGATGTCATTTTCAGTTGACAGCAAGCCGCAAAATGGTAATGGTTAAAAACGGATGGATTTTGCAACTTAATTCATATTCCACAAATGAAATATGCACCCGAATACTGTGTTTAGACTAATGGGAAAGCATGCAACATTTTATTGTAAATAACATTTTTGGGGCTTGGCTTCCCCTTTAATTACAATGACATACAGTAGCCTACTGGAGACCAGTTGAGGGTCAATCCTCACCCGAAGACAGCTGGAGCGGTTCGGTGAAATCATGTCTTTTCACCGCAAGCGTAAAAAAAGATTCTGGTGAAAGTTGACAGACTTTTTTCCTTACAGTTAAAAAAAAAAAAAATGGACAGACTGGAATGTGTGTAAGTAAAAGTAAAAATGAATTTGTCCTGTCAATTATATGCAATAACGTGTTTGCATAACTTGACACAATGAAAAAAAAAACATTATCTTGACATGTTTTTTCATCTTCTAAATTCTCTTTCTCCGAATCTGCTGCATCATCCTCGTTCCTCCAAGTTGCTCCTGTCCCCAGGATCTCAATCGTTAATCTCCCAACCACCTCTCTCCTCTCTGTCTTTTTGACATTGTGTCGTCATCAAAGTCACCAGCCAATTTTGACCAAATAAAGAGAAGACACCACAAGTAGCTGTTTTTAAATGAAGGGAGTCAAACAAAAGGGTTGTCAGAAATATATTTTTTTAAAAACTCACATAAAGCACAGACACTGGCAAAATAATCTTAAGCGGAGTGTCAACCACGGCAATTGTGAGGAAATCTTTTAAGTGGACGAAAAATATACATGAACGAGGAGGACGACTCTTTTCTGTGGCAAATGCTTTTCAGATCGCCCTGACCTTCTGTCTTTCTTCGAGGGAGGAGCTGAAAGACATTTTAAACAGAAGACAACACTCATCATTTCCATACTGTGCTCCTCTGAAAACAATTAGCCTGCACAAAAGCAAAGAAGGTCAAAAACATCAACGCAGGTATTAAGCTGCCTCACATTTAGGGAGGATTTGCTCTTTCCATTATTCCGCGCCCGTTTAAAAGCTTCTCGAGGAGCTTTTTAGAAATGTCGGCAGCTGCTCTTTTGGCGCTGAGAGGCTGTTCCTCCCTTTCCTAACCCTACGCGGCACACCAATCGCGGTGTAGCTACGCTCACAAAGAAGCTAACACCACACCGAGGCGAGTCACCGTATTTAGTTCTCGCTGTTTTTAATTCCACGGCGGCTCTCTCGTCTTCATCTTTTGTTACTTTCGTCTCCCGCCTTTTCCCATCCGTCCTCCTCGTTGTCATTTTCCCTCCTATTCAGATGAGTTTCAAATTGAGAGGGGAAGGTTCCTAATTAGCTCTGTAAGGACGCTTTGTGGACGTCATGCGCGTTGAGAGCAGATACGTGACAGCCACAGTGTTAGCGGACAGCCGCTGTGTATGGACCCTTAATGAGGTTTGTTAGCCGAGTGTGTGTCCCGCTGTTTGGGCCACCTTTCAAGCGGCGCACATGAAGAGAGCGAGAAGTGTTTGAGCAGGCCAGAATGCAGATGGTAATGCATTGTGCGTGGACGAAGAAGAGGAGCATCACAGCTTTGAGGCTTGTTTGTGCACATTTATGGAGAGGAAATATTCACGGGGTCATGTTGCTTTTCAGATCTTCAAGAGACAGTTGGGGAGATACTATGAAACGGTATAACTCGCCTCGGCTGGGGAGGTGATGGTTTCATTCCATTTGTTTGTTTATTAGCGAGGCCCAGCACCAAACTAAAAAAAAAAAAAAAAAACCCTCAAACTTTGTGGGTGTGGATCACAAACTAAACTTTTGCAGCAGCAGTTAGGACAAGTGTGTGGAGCAGTTACGCTCAGTTCCAATTGTGAATGCCAACTGTTTGCTGCTGAAAAGGGATGGAATGACTCCTGACAGGGAAAATTGTTGCTTCTTCTTTTTCTTGGAAAATTTTGTGAATAAAATTAGTATTCTTTTTTTTTTTTAACCACAGCTATACTGACTGACCTGGTCACCCATTTCTTAGTAGTTTTAACTCATCAGTATGAGTCGTTTAAACACCTTCTTGGATCAAAATCTTTTTGATTTGAGGATTTGACCCAAACTGTTGGGTCAAATCCTCAAACCAATGTGCTCGGTATAAATAACCAAGCAATGGTTTGGTCCCTTTTAGAGCCAGCTCTGGGTTACTTCTTTCATCCAATTTGGGCTACTTTAAACCCAGTGTAATATATTCCCAAAATGATTGCTTCTTTTGCATCTTTTTTTAAAGCCTAGTTTCGAAAACGTTACTACTAGGCCCCATGTTGATCCATTCAGTCCATCTTGAAACATCCGCCGATCACCAACAGTGAGAGGAAGAAAAGGTTTTGACAAAAACACGAGAAAGGCGAGGCGACGATTTGGCCAAGATTTGATGTGGCTGCACACAGATGAGAGTCGGAGTTGCAGCCCGGATAGAACCGAGGGGGAAAGGAAATGGATGGAAGTTGCAGTGATGGCTCGCAAGTGTGAAAGCCGGCCTGCCTGCTGCGCCCGCATGCTGCCGCCAAGGTGGTAAAGTGTCACTCAGGATGCAGACGGACAAGCAAAGACAGACGTCATTTGTCACTTCTCAGAGCGGCCCTCTACACACACACACACACACACGCACACATACAAAATCTCCTCTTGTTCCTCCTTTCACTCCATTTCCTGGATATTCCCTTCTGCCAGCGCACGTTTATGAACCTCCTAATCTATTTCCTCTGTCTGCCAGTCTCCCCCCCCAGCCCCCACCACTGATGAAATCGTTTTTTCCTCCTCTCATTTTGCAGTGGTTCGTTGCTCTTTCCTTCTGTAGTGTACGTTGTAGTCTTTTACATCAGCACAATGAGCTCGCTTTTTTGCTAACTATTCACAGCCACACAAATAGCTTTCTTTATACATTTTAGAGAGATACACCGCCTCCATTAACACCTTTTCTTTGCCAGGGGAGACTTTACCTGTCTTGAATATGAAATAAAAGCGTCCATTAAAAGAGGGTTCTTAATGCGCGCGCACACACACACATGCACACACACACGCACACACATTTGGTTGTTAAATAGTCTTTGGAGATGCGCTTCATGATGTTTTAAAAAGTCAGCGGCGGATGTGATTCCTGCGCTCAGCTGCAATCGCGAAGCATTTTAAACAGTGAGGATGAAGTCCTTATCTGTCGTTTCAAGTACATCAAACCGACAGTCTGCGCGTGTAATTTGTATTTTAGTACAGTGGTGGATAGATTTTAGAGCAGGGGTGTCCACATCCTGTCCTCGGGGGCGACTATCCTGCATGTTTTAGATGTTTCCCTTCTCCAACAGTCCCAAATAATCAGCTCATTAGCGAGCTCTGCAGAAGCCTGATAACGGTCTTGATCATTTGAATGAGGTGAGTTGGAGGAGGGAGACATGACAAATATGCAGGGTAGTGGCCCTAAAGGACCGAATTTGGACACCCCTGCTTTAGAGTTTCATTTATGCATGTGACTTCAAACACTTGTACTGTATCTCTAATCATCTTTCCCCATTGAAATGAATTGAAATACCATTAATTTGGTCCAGCACCACATTGTGCTCCTTGTTTTGCGTGTCTTGGTCACCAAAGGGCAGAATAATTTGCCCTACAAACGCCAAGTGAAGTAGTTTTACAAGTGTCAAGTGTCTCAGTCAACCTGCAGATTCTTTTCACAGAGGATAAAAAATATATGCCCATGATTATTGTTCTGTTGACTATCTCCATGTGTTGCTGAACTTTTTTTTTCCCCCACATATCAGTTATTTAAAAAGGTGATAATACAGCTACATCGATTTCACTTTGTTAGATGGTCTATGACATTTTGCATTGTTTTTTTTAAATTATTTATTATTTATTTATTTAGTGTCTAGATAATTTGTTGTTGATTCATAACATACTGACTTATGTTTACACCACACTTGTTGGATAAGATGGAATGAAGTTGTCAGAGTGAATACTAAAAAGACGACAGGTCAAAATGTCAGTCCACAACTCCATTTGAAGTAGATAAACTGTCTTTATTTAATTCATGGTTATTTTGCCATTATTTTTGAGTAAGCCTCATCTGTAAAACCAAAACATATATGTGAAATGAATCTGATAGTTTATTGTGATACAGATTGCTTGTAAAAAAAGAAAAACACAATACACTACATACAATAATTATTTTTCAAAATCGTTCAGCTCAAATTTAGATTGCTGGTCAAGACATTAATATGAGCAACAATGTCAACAAATGTTGTGCGTTAACCGCTTATAATGTAATCTAAGAGTTACAACGTTAGAATAGTCGACACAACCTTTGTCAACTTGTGGAAGCATGTAATTATTCAAGGCCAACGTGCGATTGTGTTCGTGGACACATCTCTGTTTTGTTTGTCAAGTCCAAAGCCACGGGGTCACGGCACTGCCAATCCACGACGTACTCCACCCCCAGCCTCCTTTTCTCCCAACTTGATGTGTCTCCATTCTTTCTCGCAAGGCGGAGGAAGGCTGCCCTGAACCAACATTGTCGCTTACTCCAGCTCTAATGTTGGGGTGAGGGGGTGAGGCAGGTGATGGGGGGGGACTATTGTGTGTGAAGGAATGGGGAGTTAACACCCATGTGCGCACCCGCTCAATGGGGGCATTGTGTCCGAATCTTCACCCCACATCACTCCCTGGGCCAAGGCCAGTAAGAGGCAACTGCTCCCCCACTTTTATTTTTGAAAGCACGCACAGTAACAGCCAAGCCAAATTGGCCAGCACCCTATCGCAACGCCGTCCCTTTATCTCACCACCTTCATTGTCCTATTAATTTTCCGGGATGACGGCACACTGAGCTGAATGCGATGCTCGCTGCCTGTTCTGACAGAAACGAGGATGTGGAGGTGTGCTGTGCTGAGACGTCGCTCGCAGCAATTTGTTGTCCAGAGAAAAGAACAGTCATAAAAGATGACATTGTACCATCATCACAAAATGATTTAGAAGAGTGTTTCCCAACCTTCATGGAGTCATCGCACCAATTTTGCATTTGAAAAACCTCATGGCACACCACCTCGTGATGAGTTTGTCTCAATTTACTTACGAGTGTACTTATTATTCAGTGTGGAATCTGACGGTGGGTATTCACGGTTGTATGAATAGCAACAAATGGATACGCGGGTTAATTCTACCTTTGATAAAACATAACGGATTGGTTCATTTCCATCACGTGACATTTTATTGACCAAGAGACCATAGCTGATCGCTCAAATAGCTTTAAAGCTAAATAGGTGTATGTTTGCTAGCTCGCTAAGTTACAGCTAAACGAAAATAGCTAAATGTTAAGTGATGACAGAGATTCTCTTTCTAAATACTGTACATACTTCATGTATACATATATGTGTGTGTGTTTTAAAATACTTGAAGTAATATATAGTGTGCCGCTAAACGGAAAGCTGCTCAACAGATTTGCCGCTGTATTGTTTCTGCAACAAGTTGTATTTGATTCTGTTCTGCTCTTCTATTGTAAACGTCTCCACTATGAGCAGAGTGCATTTCAAAGAGCACCCAGAGCTCATTTTTATTTGTTTGTGTGCAGCGGTGGGCGCCTTGGGGCGGGTTACAAAAGAGCAAGTTGGTGTTTTCTTCCCACATATTTTTAATCAAAGTGTTACTGTTTGCATTTGCATTTGCATTGAACGGAGGGATGCTGAATGCCAAAGGTGAGGTTTTGTAAAACACTCCTTTTTTTTTTTTCCAGATGGAAACACGGGTGGGTGGTTGCAAGGCTGGATGAATGCGTGTAGATGACTGAACTCCGAGACCCCAGTGCAGCTCATCATCATTGCCATGGGCTCTTGCTTCTCTCCTTCTGTGGCCCGCACCTCCATCCAGGGGTCCAGCTCAGCCCATGAAGCCTGAGCAGGAAGCTCGTGAGTGGGCAGGGAAGGATGAAGAAGGTCCCTGAAGGCTAAAAGCACCTCTGCGGGAGAAATCAATATGAAGCATGCTCGCCTCGAAGTAGGGTTTCCTCTGCTTCGCTGTGGCCTGCGGGCCCGTGCGGCCCCTCTCAGCTGGACTGGACCACTTGGCTGTGTGTGGTTTTGCCGAGGGGGATTTCTGCCCCTCTACAACCCCAACCCAAATGATTCCAATACAGTGAATGCTGAAGCACTGCCAAGAGGGAAAGTTTTTTTTCTTCATCTTTTTTCCCTTGCAAACGACTGACATCTTCCCCACCTTCTTTCAAAACCATGATGGGACTTTTGACTTCTTTCCATCCCCAGCTGTCAATTTATGCAACCATTTGACAAAAAGACTGATATTTATTTTTTTCCCCTCCATTCTTGGTTTGATGTCACCATTGTGAGCGAATATGCGTTCAAACCAGAGACATGTTTTTTCCCCCCTCCTCAAAATGTGTTGTTCAATACCACAAAATGGACTGAAACAGTAAAGAGGACGACCACAGAGATGGTGTAACTTCCTCTCATTCCAATGGTAAGTACATTTTAGCATGTCACTCTGAACAACACTGCAATAGCATATTACATCCCAAGTTGTCCTCCAGGGTTCGGTTCTAGGCCTCCTTACTATTCTCACTGGGGATGAGAGATATTGAGAATCTACTAAGTCCAATTCCATAATCAGCACAGCTTATCCGATGACTTATCGATTGGGTGAGAGATGAAATAATACGAATGGCTTTATTTGCTTCCACTCTTCAACTTTAGAATACGCATAAACTCCAGTACACACTCGATATTTGTAATGTATCCTTAGTGATTATGGAAAGCCAGTTTGAAGACATTCCCGCCTTCAGAGCCAGTCAGGGGAGTGAAGCACATTCTTCATGACTTGCATTCAAACTTCACTGAAATTAATTTGTAATGAACATGTCATCAGTGGTCCCAAATCCCTCACCGGATCCACTCAGAACTTCTCTCTTTCCACTGACGGGGACGTTGCTACGACTCCCTCTCACAGACGCGGCCTCAGACAAAACATTGTCCACCATCGTCCATCCTTCTCCTTTTCAGCTGCTTGAACACACACCCATGTCGTACATAACATGTACTCGGAACTTCTGCAAAACAAAAGTATTTTATACAAAATTCACAATCCTCATTACCTGCCTCGAAACGATGATCGACAGTCAGATGATAACTTTGGAGCGCGCAGCAGTAAAGGAGCACACCGCAGAGCTCCGATCACAAATAGCTGCCTTCGTCATCACTGCATCGCCGTACAGGGATTTTGTGTGTGTCACCCC